CAAGATGCAATCATTGGGGCAAGCATGTACCTTCTTATAACTCAGACCAACTGTGCGTAACACCTTTTTTGCATCATATAGCCAGCTTGGGAGCTTGTTATTCTTCAATAGCATTAGTTTCATCAAAGATAGCAAGCTTGAGAAGCTCCTATCACTCCACCCACTTGTAGCTTTCAAGTTGTATAATTCCAGCACAGTAGAAAATAGAGTGAACTCAATACACCCTTCGTACAAAGGTGTTTTTGCATCAGTTTTCAACCTTTCCAACTTCTCTGGGAAATTCTCGAGTTCCTCTTCCATCTCATTGGCCAATTCTTCAAGACAGTGGTCAGCCTCATATGTACTTATGTTGGAATCCCGTGATGATGAACAACTTTCCAAATGCCTCTGGCTACTATTATTCATATCATCAAGTATCTCTCCATACTTTATCCAACACTTGTAACTCTGATCAATTCCATACTTAAATAGGTGGAGTTCATATGTTTCAGGAGAAAATGACTTTACATTACCACAATTTAAACAAGGGCAAATAATTCGATCATGATCTTTTGCATTATTTACTACAAAATTTGATGATGTTTGCCACTCCATCCTAATATTCTTTAAATAGACGATTGACAGACATCCACTTCTTATCCATGATGACCTTATTTAAGAAATATGGTAAAAATAGGAAAAAATTTAGTGAGTCATAAGTTGTCCATATCAAAAAAGTTTGTCTACATATTTAAAAAAAGTTTAATTACTTGTAAATTGAAGTGGGAGGTCATTAGTTGCACTATCTTCACATTCTATTTAAGTTTAATTTGTGAGAGAGATTAATTTTGCACTACTTATTTGTTTATTTTAGTCATTGTTGTCATCGACATTGTTGTTAATTAGGTTGATTGTTTTACCGTAAAGGTTAGCATAATAGCTTAAAATTGGTGCTTCCTGAGCCTTATGTCCTCAATTTATACTAATTTAATCAAATAAAATGATAAACAACTTCAAAAAACTTAACAAAAAACTTAAAGTTGTTCTACATAAGGCCAAAACCAAAATTTTTTAAAAATTTTGGCAGCACAACAACATAAAATTGAGCATTTCTCAAGCTAAATGCCTTCTTTTCACAAATTTAACATTAAATTAACAACAATTTTCAACCAACATTCACATAATGCATTTTCATATATCAATTTCAAAACAAAATACTAACTACAACTACAAGAAAACTCTCAATAACAATATCAGAGGAACTTCATCAGAACAAAATATTAACTAATAATCTATGAGTAAACTAACTTTAAGGTTTGTCTAATTCTTCAAAGTTTCTATGCTAATCATATTTTTTTTGCAAAAAATAACTTACCTTTGTCCAAACCAACTTCTATCAATTGAGGTGAGATTTGCCAGGGGGAATTGAGTGGCAGCCAGAGAAATGACTAAGACCTAGAGCCAGTAATTTGGGCTAAGCCCGATGGGCCAACCCAAACCCACCCAAAAAATTTAGGCCCAAGCCCAAAAAAATAATATTTTTTATTGTTTGAACCTATTCGAGCCGTCCAAATAGGCCCAAGAAAATTCGGGCCAAGCCCGATCGGGTTCGGGCTTGGCCTGAATACCTGAATAGAAAAAAATAAATTTTTTAAAAAATATATAATATAATAAATATTAATTATTTTTAAGTTTTATATCATTTTATTTTAAAATACCATATATTTGAGTGTATTACTACAGTTATTTTAAAAAAAATAAAAATATTTATATTTTCCCATTTTTATTATTTTTAATCAAATAAAATATCTCAAAATAATAATTAAAATATATTTTAATATTAATTTTTATATTTTAAGACTCAATTTTTTTCATAAGACTCAATTTTTTTCATAAGACTCAATTTTTTTTAAAAAAATTGAGTCATATACACCATTTTCTTGTCCAAAAAATTATATTTTATATTTTTTATAAAATAAGATAATTAATTTTGAATTAAAAATAATTTTAAAAATAAAATTTGAACATGTATGAATTTTCGGCTCTACTACTAAACAAACATAATAAATAAAATAATATTTTTAGATAATTATTTGATTATTATCCATGCCAGACTTAGTTAAAAATTAAGAATGAACTAAAGTAAATACCCTTTGTATATAGGACTTAAACAATATAAAAGGTTAAAGAAAAAAATTCAAAAAATAATATTTTGCCCATAATTAAATAATTTTTTTATATAATATAATGATGACTATTTTTCTCATATTCTTAAAAACAAAAAGTAAAGTTTATCCAATAGTTATTAAAAACTTTGAACTAATCAAGATAATAATTTTAAATTAGTGGTCTAACTGTAGTTAAATTGAGATTAACTTGATCATAATTAAAATAATATGATTCAATTAAAATATATAAATATTTTTATATAACCATGATAAGGGCAATATTTAAATAAAGAAGACATTAATTTACAAGTAAAAGAAACATTCATAAATAAATTACATATAATACAACAAAACAGTAACAGAGTTACTTAAATACTTAAATACAAAGTTAATAAGTTATTATTTTTTTTATTCCTTATAAGTTAAAATAATATGTTATGCTTAATAAAATTATTTAAAAATTAAAATTGATTAAAAATAAAAAAAATATTTTTAAAAAAGTTTCGGGTATTCGGGCCAACCCAAATAAGCTCGAAGCCCGAAAGCATTAAGGTCAGGTTTGGCTATATGGACTTTTTAAAAATAGTAGGATTCTTTTAAGCCCGATCCGAATAAGCCGGCCCGAATTAAGCCAGACCAGAATAAGCCCAGCCTACCTGAATTATGGGCTCTTTTAAGACCTACGCAGAGACCACGTACGCCTAAACTCATGACTTGGAGCAAACAAACCAAGCCACCGAAGACCCATGGGAAGCAAAATGGAAAACGAGAACTTCGAACCACCCATGAGCACAAACGGCGATGACCTATGGCGGAGGAAGGCAGGAAATGGCCAGAAACATTGATTGATAGAGGTGGAAGACGAGAACAATAGGGGAAAAGCCAAGAGAAGAAACAAAGAGATGTTTCGGCGCAAGTGAATAATGAAAGGATTGGGGGAACCGTAGAGTAATTTAAATTCACATATTAAATAGTTCCTTAATGAAACCGTTTAATAAACACATATAAAATGGTTTTTTTGACTGAACCATTTAGTAAACTCGCATAAAGCTAAACAGTTTTGTCAAAAAATTGATTTATATGTGCACGCATCAGATATTAAACAATTGTATTAAGTAACCGTTTAATATTATTTTGTATATGCAATGGTTTAATTGTAGAACTGTTTAATATTTATTTTTTAGTTTCCCGCCTCACTTATTCAATATTTTTCATAATAACCGTTTAATATGCATTGCTATATATTTAATATTTTGTAGTAGTGATTATAATTGTTTAGGTGTTAAATTTAGGGTTTAAATCGCCTTTGAACATATAAATTAGAGTTCAAATTGTCATTTAATCCTTAAATTAACAGACAAGTCTCCAAGAATTAAAAAATAATTATTACATTTTAGGGTATCTCATTGTTAATTGTGTATTTCAAGAATATTTTCTTGTCACTCTTCCTAAAATGAATCATGAATTAATTAAAGCTAAATTGTAATTCCCGCGCAATGCACGGACATTTAATTCTTCCAGTCAACTGTAGAGAAGTAAATAGAAACATGCAAACATTAATAGAGTGATGAAGAAAATTTATAATAGGCAAAAATTTAATGCGCTTTTCACAATAACTTAAAAAAATTAAATTAAACAAAATTCTTTAAACCTTGAATCATGTATAAATAACCCATTTAACCTTCAAAGCTTAATAATAAATTTCATTGGATTTTTAAGTTTATACAAATAACTCTTAACCATTGATTATATACCTCGTTAAATTTTATTTGTGTGTACATTTAAACTCCAAATTTTGATTGATATACAAATAAACCCCTAAACTTTAAATTATGTGTAAAAAATTAATATATAAAATTAATCATGTAGAGTTATTCACATAAATATAAGAGTTGAGGGGTTCATTATAAAGTTTTAAAAGTTAAAGGGATCATATATACATAGTTTAAAGTTTAAAGTATTGTTATCTTTCAAAATTTTCTCAATTATTATTATCTTTTAAGAATATTTTCATTTAATGTTTCTCAAAAGTCTATTAATATTTAATAACACCTTAACTCATTTGCTTGGTACACGCTCTTTATTGAATAAAAATAAGAATGAGAATTAGAATTGATATCCTTTTATCTTCGCCTGATTTCTCTTTTCCCTCTGTTTCTCACTTCTGCTCTCTTTCTATTTCTTTTCTCTATTTTTCTCCCTTTCTCATCCTATATCAATGTTTTTATTTTTTATTTTTAGAAACAAAAAATGAAAATGGAATAATTTAAATTTAAAACACTTATTCGAACAATTTTTTTTATTTAAAAATAGAAATCTACCACGCCTTGATACATAAAATTATAGCGATCATATTTCTCTATTTTTAAGTTGAAATAGAGTCAGAATGCATTAGTTAATTATAAGCTTATCAGTTAATGCAAGATCTATTGTCACGAGTTTCGAACTCTTTTGTGTTTTCTTTATTTGATTTAAACTGCAAATTATCAGGTAATGCAAGATCTATTGTCCCGGGTTTCGAACTCTTTTGTGTTTTACTTATTTGTTTAAACTGGAAATTACAAACAATGCCATAGAAAAATATGGTGCATCTAGACCAATAGAGGACGATCCATCTGGCCCAAAACAATAGTCAGGTCAGCCCATTGGGCTGAAGACCCCATGGTGGATGTAATCTTTAAACTTCCGACACGTGTGAAATAGAAGGCCACGCAGCCGTAAGCTGCTTGTGGTGGTCTCGGCTGCTCTGGGAAATGCTAGAAGCATCCGAACCCTGAAAAATTAAACAGGCCCAAAAAAAAAAAAACGAAAAAACAAAATGGCCACATTCTCTTTCTTTGATGGAAGAATCACCTCATTCTCTTTTATAAATCAAGAACTTTTCGCTACGTTTTTCCCTTGCCCACCATCAAGCTTGATCAGGGATATCAGGGATTCTCTCCGTATTATTCTCCCCAGCTCTACACTGTTCTTAGGGTTCTTGATTAATATTCTTAATTGATCAATCTTCCAGGTTTGTGAATTCCGCTTGAGAATTTAATCTATTCAGTTGCTGCGATCTGCCGCACTCTGATATTAATTTGGTTTTCGAGCTTTATCTGTTATTTGCAGTAGTGATAGCTTGTAAGTTTCATTGTTTGTTTGTTTGTTTGCTTGTTTGAAACCCTATTACTTGGGTGAATTGTGGTTTATCATTGAAAGAATTTGGTGAAATTCTTTTCTTTATCGCTTTGATCATTCTTAACGTTGGAGAGAAGTATGTTATAGTTGTGATATTAGTTTTGTTTGCTTATAGCAACGATGTGGTTAGTGTTTGAAGGAAGTCTTTGCCTGTCATAGTTTGAAAGTAGAGTCCTGGGATTAATGTTTGGGTACATCCCTATCTGGAAACTAGGTTCCGTTAAGTTCATGTTTCTTGTACATCATTTTCATAAATTATTCAATGGTTAATTATTCCGTGTTCTAAGGCGGAATGTTTGCTTTTTATGCGGACAGGGATCACTTTTCCAAAACAATGCAGAGAGGCAGAGGTGGACGGGATCCTTTCTCTGACTTCGGTAGTCCTTTTGGTGATTTCGGAAGCCCTTTTGGTGATTTTGGGAGCTTTGGACCTCCTGGCAGTCTATTGTCAAACTTCTTTGGGGGCAGGAACCCGTTTGATGACCCCTTCTTTACCCGGCCGTTTGAAGGCATGTTTGGATCTAGTATCTTTGGTCCTCCGGGAAATCTTCATCCGAACATGCATCCATCTGGATATCTTGAACATCAAGCTCCAGAGTCTAGAAATTCACGAGGGCCAATTATTGAGGAATTAGACTCTGATAATGAACGAGAAGATTCAGAGCAGGCAAAGGGAAAAAGGCCAAGAAATAGTCAGTCAAACAATGAACCACATGTTATGCATCCTGATGATGAAGATGAAGGTGAAGTGTGTTTTGCGATTAGCAGTTGGTTCTTTAGTTTTGTGCTATTTCTAAAGTGTCGACAGGGTTATGCGTAGTCTGAGATTTGTATTCATGTTGCAGGAAATAGAAGAAAACATTTGCAGCCTGGAAACGAGTTCAACATATTCAACAATATTAGCTGTCAGCCTCAAGCTCATAGCTTCTGTTTCCAGAGCTCAACAGTCAGCTATGGTGGCCCGAATGGAGCATATTATACCTCATCCAAGACAAGGAGGACAGGGAGTGATGGAGTAAGCTTCGAAAATATTGAGTAAAAACTAGTTTTGAGTTCACGCTATTTTCTTACATTATTTTAATTGCTTATTAGGTAACCTTTGAAGAGAGCAAGGAGGCTGACAGTGCCACAAGAGAAGCTAGTCACAGAATTTCTAGAGGTCTTCATAACAAGGTATTTATACAATGTTTTCGTTTGTATTGCTCTGATTCATTTACCAGGTGTCCTTCTCTATCTGCTTCTTTAGAGAATAAGTGCGATCCTTGCTAATTTTATTTCATTTTTATCCAATGTGCTTTGCAGGGGCATTCGTTAACAAGAAAACTTAATTCTGATGGAAAGGTGGACTCCATGCAGACCCTGCACAATTTAAATGAAGGTATATGATGGATGAGATTTATGTTCATTTGTGTGATGTGATGATGTCTAGAGCTGTTTTTGTTCTATTATTGAAGTGCCAGTAAAATTTTCGGTCTGTTAATTTGTAGATGAGCTTGATGGCTTTGAAGAAGCATGGCAAGGAAAGGCTCAAAAGTATTTACCAGGATGGGCTGGGAATGTAGGTGAGTGTCAATTCTACTATTTAAGAATAAGGTGAACAATGACTTCCTCTTTAATTAGTTCAGGGATGTGTATATAAAGAGAAATGGCTTTTGTGATGGTCCTTTTTGAATTTCTTTTTCTGGGATATTCCTTGATGGTAATCTTTATTAATCAATGATGATAAAGGTGACCAAAAAATTGCTGAGTAAAGCTCATTTTGTCTGCATATGCGTGTGCGTGCACACACAAATGTACATGCATATCTTGGTCACATTCTATTCAAACATTTTCATTCTCTAATTGTGTATTTGTTTCTAAGATTATATAAAAGAAGGGAAGCTGAAATTTTAGTATCATGTCCATCAATACTGAAACCTAGTAGTACGTGGATGATATTTTGCTGCTCAATGTCCCCCCCCCCCACCAAATTTATATTATTTTGGGGTTGGGCTTTTTTTCTTCAGAAGAGCGTGTAATTAGTTATTGTTAACGAGTGCTCTCTGGTGTTGTAGGAGCTAGCCGTGGCAGGCAAATTGAGCAGGGTAGGCAGGGAGGCTGGGCGCTTCCTTCAACGGAGGATGGAAATCGCATGGGAATGATGCCTGAATTTAGAAATAAAGCAAGCTCTTCTGTGACTAAGGAGAGGGCAAGGACGGACAAGAGTGACAGAAATGCAAGTCATCGACGAGCTAGGGGCTGAAATTGAGGAAGCTTTGTGGTTTGTGCCTGCCTATTACTACTATACTATGCCCTTATTTACAAGTCTTCTTTTTCATCGTCCTATAGATCCTTGAATCATTTGTTTTAAGCTACGCTTGTGGATTTTATGATTTGTCCATTTGGGCATATGGGGGTAGGCGGATATGGGGTTGTTATCTTTCGTGTTACGTGGAAAATATAATAGTACGTTATGTTTGCTGCCAATTCTGCTGTTTGAGGTAGTGTCTTTGTTGTCTGGTGCGCCTGTTCTATTTTTCATGTAGTTGAAATTTATAAATGCTTCAAGCATGCTCAAGCTGTGGCTGTAAAATTGTTTTCAAATTAACATAAATAGATTCTTATTTTGTCTTGTCTTAGGAACAATTTTTAAAAGATAGCTTTTAAAAATAAAAAATGAAAACAAAACAAAGCAAGCTCTTAATTTCTGCCCTTCCTCCTGGTTTTAGATGAACTCTACTGGTCCAAGACGTTATGGTATGGCAAGATTACTAGAACGAGTGCTTGGGTTTTTGTGGTGGTTTGTTCAAGTGCTTTTGTTGTTTTCCTATTTGTAGTGTTCTTGTTGGTTATGTTCTGTTGAATGAAGTATCCAGTTTACATTCGTCGTTTTCATGACACGCATGCTGTGCCTAGATTAAGGGCATGAACGGAATTCGCTTAACAATTTGCGTGGTAAGCAACCGAGTTTTAAGAAACGCGCGCGCGCGCGCGAGACACATCAATAGTTTTACTTAAAAACTTAAGATATGTATGTATGTACATCAATATTTTCCGTAGACGTTGATGGATGGATGCAGAGTTTGGTTTTTCGAGAAACCCTAGAGCTTCCAGGATGAAGCTGGACAACCTTCATGGAACAAGTGAGAGAGAGACTGGACCATTTTGCACTGGATTATATTTTGGAAAAATTATTCCTAGGTCCTATAAAAGATAATTATTAAGAGGTTTTATAAAATGTATAAAATATCTTTAAGTTTCTAAAAAAGTATAAAATATTTTTTGAGTTCCGAACTCTGCATTTATAATTTGGTAAAGGTTATTTACAATTGGGTAACAGGCATAGCAAGTTGTAAATGCACTTTATTAAATTATGAATGTGTAGGATTTGAGAGTATTATGTATATTTTATGAGATTTTTTAATAATTAAATTTTTTCTGAGATTTAGGCATAATTTTTCCTTATATTTTTAGAAAGGCAATGAAGCAGTGGAGAGGTATTGAGATGATAGGAATGAAGTGGCTTTGTGGAAGATGAGAGGCAATCAAAGAGGAAGAGGGCTAGAAGCTTGAATTGCAGAGGGCACTTCGCAGCAGGAAAGAAATTTAATTTGTGAGAGGAGACAAGGTTTCTTCAAAGAATAGATAAAATAAAGAGGAGGAAAAGGAAAAGAGGTCAATCACATAAAAGACATCTACAGTCACATGAGAACATCTACATGGAAATCGGAAAATATTATCAGCTTTTTAATAGGAGTTTAAAATGATAGAAGTTGTTTTGAAATTTAAAAAAGGGAAGAGGGATATTTTTTAAGCTCTTCACGTAGCCCAACGAAGAAACGGGCAATTTCATTTAGCCCAATCGCTCTATAAATAGTAAAATGTGAAAGAAGCCGTAATCAGATTTGGCTTGGGCTTTTTTTTTTTTTTGAATAGAAGGTCATAAAAAAATCATATTAAGTGACATGATGTTTTATATCAGCATACAAATAATTTATACAACCAAGAGACGAAATATAAAAAATGTTAACATTAAGACTGTTAATAGGAGTTTGTTGAGCCAATCAATTCATGCATTGATTTTTTTTTTTTAAATACGATCAAAAGTGACCATCTAAAGTTGGGCTGTTTGGATATATATGATATATTGATATTGATGTTGCTATTAGATTTTCCAATGTTTTGAAAATTTTCATTCTCTTAGGTTTATTCAGTTCAAGGGGAGGTAAGGGAAGATGAGGTTTTTAATATTATCTTTTTTTGATCTTAGGAAAAGCATAACTTTTAGTTCCTATATTTTGTTTGGATTTTATTATTAATCCCTGTACTTTTATATTGTTGTTCCAAATTCTTATATTTTTTTCCATTTACAATATTGGTTCCTATAGTTTTAGAGGGACTTTGATGTGGCAGTGTTAAAAATGTTGACGTGGACTAAACACTGTTAATAAATGTGCTAATGTGGATTTTTTAATAACCAAAATAAAAATAAAAAAAAAACACATAACATTGGCAGCTGAGTCGGGACCTCCTTAAATGAAGAAAACTCGATCAGGATTGACAACCCCCCATCACCGGAAAAGACTAAAGGACGATGCTAGAAAAGTCGACAGCGGTGTTTGGACGAGAAAGCACCAAAGTGTGACTTGCCATTATGACCTGTTGGACGGACAAGAGTGAGCATTCTGTTGGAAGGAAGAAACAGTAATGAGCCAATATAAACCTACGCAGAAAACATTTGGTGCTGAGCAAATACCCAAAAAAAAAAAAAGGTTTATTCGAGAGAGAGAAAGAGAGAGAGATATCTACACTCGACAGAGAGGGAGAGAGAGAGAGATGGTTTAAGATGAAAAATACTCAAAAAAAAAAAGGCAACAAATATCTGATAGGGAATATAACCTGAGCAAATACAAGAGGAAATATAACATGTGAAGAGTAAACAAACAAGATTTCTATGATTTGAAGCAAATATAACCTAACCTTATCATTTGCATTAACCATTTGCATTCATCATGTGCACACTTAACTCGACACCTCACCTTAACATTCTTAATAAATTGCAGTTTATATTCATTAAGTAAAGCATATTCTTTCACTGCAATCTTAAATTCATCAAGTGAAGTGAATTCCATACCTAACTTGAATTGAAACTCTCTGCACATTTTAGAAGGATTGTATTTTTCATACATACATTTAGGCACACTCTCATCCTTAGCATCACAATATAGTTCATCTTCATGAAGCTCATTCAGTCATAATCAGAAAACAAAGCCAATATCTCCTCCTCTGTAACCTCAGGTGGAGCTCTCATTAGCTGTGTACTACCTACAATCTCGTATAATATATCATTAACACCAACATCAACATACTGGTTAAAAAAATCATCATCAATGTGTTCAAAGTCACTAATATCTATATTTGACAAATCCACCTCTCCATTACCCTCCCCTTCACTACTATCAGTAAGTTCATTTTCCCAGTCCATATTATACCTTGCAGCAAATTAGAAAACTTCAATAATCATTCCAAACAGAAAAATTCTTCATAAGACAAAGCCATAAAAAAAAAAAAAAAACAGGGCATGCCAAAAACAAGTATAACAGAACTGTGTAATAATCGCAAAATAGGGACAAGTATAATGAAAGACCATAGAGGAGTTCAATGATGATAACAGAGCAGAAGCAATGATCAAGGATTAGAACTTACAAAGACCAAAGAAGAGTTAAAAAACGAACGAGTAAATAAGAGGTTTGAATGAGTAGACGAGTAAGCGAATGAGCTTAATGTCAACCGAGTAAACAAGTAGAACTTACCAGTGTCGACTTTCCTAACGTCCTCCAACACTTTTTTCTGGCGTCATGGGTGTGGGTCTCTCGGTCGTGTTGTTTTCTCGTGCCCTAGCAAATGAGTGGTTCTGATTACTTTTTTTAGTTTGCTGATAGCGTAAGGAGGGTCCAATCAGTTGCCAATGTAATGTATTTTTTTTATTTTGGTTATTAAAAAAATCCACATCAACACATAAATAACAATGTTAGAGTCAACATCAACGTTTTTAATACTATTTATGTTATGTCAATAGTCCCTTTAAAACCATAAGGACTAATGTTATAAATAAAAAAAAGTATAGAAATTTGAAAAAAAAAATTTAAAGACTAATTGCAAAATTTAAAAAAAAAATATAGGAATTAAAAATTATATTTTTTTATTTTTATGTGAAGGGAGGAGAGATGAGGGGTTTTTAACGACCTTTTCGTTGATTCTAAAAAGGGAGGGGATAGAAAATAATAACTAATTCACCATTGTATTTTTTATATATTAATTTTAAATTGTTTACTTTTATCATATACATTAATTTACACCTTAATTTAAATTAATATTTGTATTTTTTTAACTATTTATCTCCATGTAATAGCCACCCCTTTGACCCAAAAAAAAAAACCAAAAAAGACTAGCCATCAGGTAAAGTGAGATTAAAGAAGCAGAAATCAAAAGGGAGAATATGCCATCGCCAGGAGTTCATGTTCATCACTTCATCTTAATCTTAGTTTGCCTAGCAGTATTTCTTAAATTACATATTTCTATACTAATTTTTTCCAAAAGAAGGAAAAAAGATTGCTGCGTTTTCAAGAAGAAAAAGTCGAGGTCTGGGATGAAGCATGATCTAATGCGGAGAGTTTTTTTTTTTTTTTCCATAAAATATAAAAAAGTATATGATTATTAGTTAAAAAATTTAGCCCCCTTCAAAAAATCCCAATTTAGAGGGAGTTTTGTTTTTTTTTTGGGGGGGGGGGAACCAAACTTATGAAGGGGGGCCAATTTTTTATAAAATAAATGTGTGTGTGTATTTTTAAATATTTATTTTAATTACTGTTTTAAATACATTTATAAGTTAAAAATGTTTATATCATAAATACGCTTTCATTTGTCTTTACATATTGACGTTTTAAACAAAAAAAAAAAGTAGGATAGATAGTAATAGTTTTATAAAAAAACAATACATGCATTGAAAATTGAGTGTATGACAAATTTAAATTATTATTTACTGATATTGTGTAACAAAAACATTAAATACATACTTATACAAATAGATAATTTGTTTAATAACTAATTCAAGACAATTTAATTAAAAAGATTAACATGTGAGTGTTATATATATATATATATATTTTTTTCCTCCCTGTTAATAAAAAGTTAATAGCAAAAAGCAACTAAATATAATATATTTTGTTTCTACAGTAACACACGAATAACAAATTGTACTGGTGTCATTGTGTTGCTTTCAAGGGAACGATTAGTGGACACATTGTTGAACAGAGAGGCACACTGAAAGATTAAATTTTTAAATTTTTATTTTTATATAAATTGAACGAACTCGTTTAAGTTAAGGTGGATGGAAAAATTATCTTTTAATTGTGAGCTCTTGACATGTGTTCTCTTTAAGAGGTTAGATCTCAGGAGCTGATAACATAAATATGCTCCCTCTATTG